GAACCCTGGACCTCCCGGTTCTGAAGTGAGCGGCGTACCACTGCACCACAGGATCGGTTCCGTGGTACGCTAGAGCATTCAAGTAAAAAGGCACTTTATTATATGAGAGTAAACGTAACATTTATTATTAGTCTAAATACATGTAATGCTAAATTTTGTTCTTATAATCTATTCTAGTATTCTCGAACCCGCTCCTGGACAAACTGCAGTTTGTCTGCTGCCGAAGCTCTTTCGTTTAGTGATAGCTTGGTTAAGGTCGGTGACTTTTGTCTTATACTTAGAGCCAGTACGAGTGTAGCGGATCGCAATCCACTTATTCCAAGAGTAACTACAACCTTAGCCTAAGGCTAAGTAACTCCTCCATTTAAAACGTAAACTGTAATTTCTTGGTTTTATTTGTGGCAAAGCCGATTGTGTCTGAATCTATAGTTTTTCTATTTATAGAGTCAACACAAAAGTATGTGGCTCATACATCATGTATAATGGGAACTGAACCATTACACCAACCCCCACTCAAAAGTGAATTTACCCATATTTTTTTCGAGCTTTGACTCAGAGACACAGTCATTCGTGATCCCATACAAAATGAAACGCATCGGAGAAGACTTGCGCCGAAAATGAGTGCAAAGCAAAATTGCAGCTCAATTCAAGGACACGAAGGCGTCTTTGCCATTTTCAAAACTTGGACAATTGTCCAATTTCACGTCGAACGGCGCTTTCGCAGGTTTAGCCAACACCTGGCATCAAACAACCAGCTTGAGCAGATGATACTGTTATGACGAGTCCATCGACAACACCAACCATCTAGTGTATTTGCGCTACCGTGAAATTGATCGTCGTCACGAATTTCACGACCGAAGTGGTTGTAACCCCTTAGAGTTTGACGAACACTTTAATCGAATGGAAGCTCGAGTGATGACTAGAACCGCATGTTTCTGCACTATCGGGCCAACAAGACATGCTGAAGGCAAACCACGAAGACTCATGTACGTTCCGCATATCCAGCAATCCCATCTGGATTTTGTCCAGACAATCGACACTCGATTCTGGGCACGGGTTATAACCACAAAATTTGTGGATGTCCAACATTTGCAAAATGCAAATACCGCTGCAGATTTACTGGCGATACGTGATATGCGCTTTCGGTTTGACCGTTTAACAGCGTAGGATTCGATTCACTCCGACATCAAAGATACGTGAGAAGCCGGTGGGGTGATTAG